CTTATACCTTAACCCCAAAGAACCTACCGCTTCAAGGATTTATCTAAAGAAGTTTGGGTGCTGGGGATCTGGTAAATCTAGGCATTGGCCAACCATCTGCTGTATATCTTGGGTTCCGTGCTCCCTCGCCTTTGCTTGCACTCACCCTTCGAGGGTACAAGTTCGGTTGAGCGTTCTGAGGCAACGGCAGGCTGCCATACAAGATGAAAGTTGTTGACACTTGTGATTCAATCCTGAACTCTTATAGCAATCATCATCAGCCCTTCTTAACAGGGGCACTCGCGTCGCTGCTCCTGCCATTTGCGACTCGATGCTTCCCATGATGTCCAGTTCTGCCAGGTCTATTGGCAGACCGTGGCCCCGTGATGAAATCACCCTAAACCCTAACCCCTTAGCAGAAACGTTTCCAGAAGTGGAGTTCAGTCCCGACGATGTCGTTAGGGCCGCCTCCGAGGCTCTCGCTATAGTGGCCGCCCCTATATTGAAGGCTAAACCCTAAACGGTTTAGGGTTTAGGGTTTAACCCCAAAGCCCCTATTCCTTTTGAGCCTTAAGCTAGTGGCCCATGCAGGACGACTCCGAAGAAGAGGCGGATGGGTGCATGGCATGCATGACGGGTTTAGGGCATCGTAGCAACAAGTCTGCTGTTTGCAATAGTTGCGATACCGACACGGCACAAGGTAACACAGCAGGTATATATCAGACCCTGAACCGCAAACCCTAAACCGTTTGGTCTCCGGCACTTGCAGTACATGCCTAGTCTTCAGGTGCCCTCGATAAGCGGTGTTCGGACGTTTAGTGATTGGCCTGGCCCTTGAGTCGTTAACCCTAATTGCCTAATATAGAAGCGCAAATAATTGAGAAAATGGTCTTTTAGGATTCCATACTATAAACATAGCTATACTATCACATGCCCCATACTCCTATTCTGCTCGTGAAGGCCTCTAAATATACGAGGCTGAAGGGCTTCAGGGTCTGGGTGCAAGTCTCGATGTCTCGCCCTCAGGTCTTGTCCAAAAGCCTGGGTCCCTAGGTCATAAGCATCTAAGCCCCAAGCCCTAAACGCTTAAGCCCTCAAAGCCTTAAGCCCTAAAATCCTTAAGCCGCTAAAGTATGAAAGCCCCAGCTCTAAAACCTGCAAAGCCTGGAGCCCCACACCTTGAGCCCGTATCTTTCAGTGTGCGATCAGGGCATCCTGGTGTCTGGCAGACCAGTATTGTGATAATGTAATGCATATATACATATACACACACACACACACGCCATATACACATACATATACATATACATACACACATGTGTGTATATATATATATATGAGTATATAAATGTGCTGAGTAAGTAAACGAATAGATAAAATTCACAAGTAAATCTAGATACACATAGTTACATACCCGTATATTTAGAGATAGAAGTATGTACATATTCCTGTATTTGTAATATGTATGTAAATATGTACATGTATATATATATATATACACACCTTTATATCTGTATTTGCGAACACATTATTATTATATTATTATTATTATTGTTATTATTATTATTATTTATTATTTATTACTTTTTATTTATTATTTATTATTTTATATTTATTTATTTATTTATTTATTTATTTATTATTATTATTATTATTATTATTATTATTATATATATATATATATATATTCAGATATCCATACGCACATACGCACATATGATACAAGACCGACCGTGACCGTGTTTAATCTGATACATCTGACTGCATCAAGGGGTCTTCGTTCGGTTCTACCAGTAGGGCCTCGAATCTCAAATCCCCAAAACCACGGGTCTAAGCTCTAGGGTTTAGGGGTTTGGGGTTTAGGGGTTTAGGGTTGAAGGGTTCTGGGGCTTGGGGTTAAGGGTTTAGGGGTTAGGGGTTCAGGGTTTATAGAGTGTGAGGCTTAGGGTTTAGGGTGTACGGGTGTAGGAGTCTAGGATTTTGTGCTTTCGGGTAAACGTGTTCTGGGTTCGGGTTTTGGGCATACACTGCGATCACAAGCCGAAACCACCCGAAAGCGCTGGCAGATGCCGCACGAGCTGTCGGGCTGGACGGAGGACATCGTGTTGTTGATCGTCAAGTGCCGCCCCATCCGCTTGGGGTTCAACCAGTTTCGCGGGGGTTACGGGTTTGGGCGTAGTTTTCCCTAAACCCTAAACGCTAAACCCTAAACCCTAAACCCTAAACCCTAAACCCTAAACCCTAAACCCTAAACGGTTTCGGGGGGGAGTAGGGTTGAGGGTTTAGGGATTGGGGATTGAAGTTTAGGAGATAAGGGTTCGGGGTTTAGCCTTTCTACAGAAGCCCTTCGTTCCGGAGAAGATGTATAGTGTCCTGGGTGAGCCCGGCAGGAAGAGTAGCAGTTTCGGGGTTCAGGGTTTAGGGTTTAGGGCCCAGGAACGAATACAAAGGCCGGAAAAGTTAGCGTAGTCCCTGATTCAAGTCTGAACGAAAGGGACCAAGGGTTTTGGATTTAGGATTTAGGGTGTAGGGTTTCGGATTTAGGGTGTAGGGTTTAGGTTTCAGGATTGCGGTTTAGGTTTTTAGGGCTTGAGCTTTAGGGGGTTGAAGGCTTGAGGTATGGATACATGTCGTGGCTGTGTACGCTCAGCTTCTGATTCGTGTGTATCCGTCCGACGGTTTTGGTGGATGTTCCGTCACACACACACATACATGGGTTTGGTGTGTAGGGTTTTGGGTATATAGCTAGCTACATACTCAATCAGCCGCATGCATGCATACACGCACGCTGCATACACACAGTATTGTGGGTGTTTGTAGTCAAACAGATTTACTATAATATGCCAAGGCCCGAAAACCCGATTCTTATGCTTGGTTGTCGAATTGAGGGGTTGGAGCGTGTAATATAGAAGCCTATATAATTACCTATACTATTTTGGAGGCCTTATTATAATTGTACTTTGAAGGGTTTGGACGGTTGGGGGTATATTTTACTATAATTATCATAAGGACCTCCCCCCCCCCCGCCCCCCCAAAGCCCTTAAGGCCCCTACATCAGCCATCTTTCCTGCCTTCCCGAACATTTTCGGAAACGAGGGTCTTGAGGTTTACGGATATGCCGCTGCATGCAAAAACCAAGTGCTGGTGCTCAGCATGGTTCTCGCCATTGCCCTGAGGAGAAGAGGACAAGAGGAAGCCTGAAATAGCTAGAACCCGGAAACCCTAAACCCTAAAGCTTAGGGTTTAGGGTTTAGGATTTAGGGTTTAGGGCCTAAGCCCTAATTCCTAAACCCTAAACCGTCAGACATCCGGTTCTTTTTCAGGTACTATTGTCCTGTCAAAGAAATCATTGTCACCTTGGGCAGGTGCCTCAGGATTGTTTGGGTGACATCTGGGCGATTTCAGACTTAGGCTTTTTGAAAGATTTAGGATTTGGTGTTCTGGGTTCAGTGTTTATGGAGGCCTTGCAAGAGCACGGAGCATAGGCGTCCAAATTTGGGCCGCCGGCATGCATGTCTTGGCTCGCCTTGCCGTAACTCCTACACACCTTTGGGAAAATCTGCAATTTCCTCTGCTGGCTGGCATTAAACCCTAAACCCAAAACCGAAAACCCAAAACGGTACAAGTAGGTTTGGGGGCTCTGAAAATCGAAGCCTGGTCGCTTCAGCCCCAAACCCCCAGAACTTCTCGCCGGCGTTTCCCTAAACCCTAAACCCTAAACCCTAAACCCTAAACCCTTTCAACCGAGGTTGCTACTATACCCAGAGGTGCAACCCTCTGAAGGCCGGTCCTGAACTGTCACTCTTTAGAGTGCAAGAGGGTAGAGCTTAGGGTTTAAGGTTTAGGGTTTAGGACTTTCAGGGTTTAGGGCTTAGGGTTTAGGGTTCAGGGTTTAGGGCTCAGGGTTTAGGGTTTGGGGTTTGGGATTTATGGATAAGCCTTCTAACGTTTGTGAGGAAATCATGCTCTAGGCTGTTGAAGACTGCAAGATTTTCCAGGGTCGCCAGCAGGTGATCTGTGACTTGGCGTTGACCTTGGGGCGGGGTGTTGCACTTACGGTTTAGGGTTTAGGGTTTAGGGTTTGATTGAGCACATGTGCCTTATGGAGTTCTTACAGCACGACTAGTTCACCCAAAACCCTAAACCCCCATGTGCTACATCGTCTGTGGATGCCTAACTGGGCAGCGAAAGCCCCCTGCACTTAAACTTAAGCCCTGAACCTTAAACCTAATATTGCGAAACTCCAACTGAACCGCAAACCGCGATCCCTTCTCCCTGAAGGCTTTCAGGAGGTTCATTCGCACATCTGAAGCCCAGACATCGACTATTTTAAGGGCTCCTGATGATGACCACCCTAAACCCTAAACCCTAAACCCATATTGGTACGTAAAAGGTGGCCTGTGTGGGTTTACAGGGCTCCGAATTCTGACTCCCTTCGAAAAAGCTCGGCTACACGGGAGCCTTAAACCCTAAACCCTGAAGCCTAAAGTCGAAACCCTAAAGCCTTAAGCCTAAACCCTAAACCCTAAAGCCTAAATCCTAAAGCCGAAACCCTAAAGCCTAAAGCCTAAACCCTTTAGCCTAAAGCCTAAGGCTTACACCCCAAAGCCTAAACCCTACCAGGGAACCCAAATGCTGGATCAGCGCAAGCAAATCCGAAGGTCATGATGGAACCGACGGCAAATAGCTGGTTCGATTCAAGGCGTGGGCGGGTTTAGGGTTTAGGGTTTTAGGGTTTAGGTTTCAGGAATTTGGGGTGGGTGAATGATTGCGTGGTAATATAGGGTTTGGGCATATATTATTACTGCAATTTCAACAAGGAGCCCCCAGGACCCTAATTGTAATTCTTAAGGCCATGAGGTTGTTTAATTAAGCAGGGGACTGGCAGGCTTAGGGACCGAGGGTTTGGGGCTTTAGGGGTTTAGGGTTGAGGGGTTTAGGGGTTTGGGTTTGAATGTCTAGGTGACACTCGGATGCAAGACTCTAGAATCTAGGTATGTGGATTGTCGGTGGGGGATGCGGATTTAAGGTTTAGGGTTTAGAGTTTAGGGATTTAAGTTGCAGTGTTTGTTTTTTTTTTGGTGCGTCGTGGCCTACAGAGCTTGATGCACAACATTTCGTGTCAGACTGAACAGAATGAAAACTCATTCTGCTCGCATGGCAATGCCAGCAGCCATGTGAGGTTACTCCAAGACATGCTGATGCTATGCTCATTCGTAGTTATTTTTCAACTAGTAAAACATGAAGAGAAAGACCGAGAGAGAAACAGATAGTTCGAAAACAACCACATGACATTTCATCAACTCACATTCTTCTGTCTTGTTTCCCCTTCCCTGAGCCCCAAACCCCGAACCCTAAGCCCGTGTTTTCGCCCGACAGGCATGTACCAGCTTTTCTTCGCTGTGAATATGGCCCTTGTCCTGTACCCGTAAGACAAACCTGCCTCTTCACCACATCGCGGGAGATAAGGACTAGGATATTTTTGGGGGGTTGGAGGGTTATACCCTAAACCCTAAACCCTAAACCTTAAACCCTACAAGGCTTTGGGATTTAGGGTTTAGGGTTTAGAGGTTTAAGGGCTTGGGGCTGTAGGGCTTCAGTTGTCCGAAAGGAATCCTGGGTTCTCTGGGGGACTGTCTACTTCATTACATCTCAATACAAAGGTCTGAAGCATGCGTAACGGAATCACCATGAATCCTGGTACTATGACGCCCTAAACCCTAAACCCTAAACCCTAAACCCTAAACCCTAAACCCTAAACCCTAAAAATCTTAGTCTAGTCATTCAGTTCCCTGCGGGTGTCTGTCTTCTTTTCGGCACAACGACCGCTTTCTTCAAGCCTAGCAGTGTAGAGTTCTATGCTCTGAACCCGCGAAGTCTGGTGGCCCTAGGTGGTAGACCCTATAACCCTAAGCCCTAAGCTCAACCAGGATCAAGGGCTTGGAGGAGTAGCTCGCAACTGGCAGTTGATTATCATCTGTACTTCCATCACCAGGATTTCCAGAATATTCCTACAAGTACCAAGTGATGACCATGGTAGTAGCAGCAGCAGTAGCAGTCACGGTGGCAGTTGCGATCGCGATCGCGGTGGGTGACAGTAGCAGAAAAGTAGCGTTGAAAGTCGAAGTAGACTTAGCCGTAGCAGTAGCAGTAGCAGACGGCGGATATTACGTTTACTACCATTACGACTGCTATTGCCACTGCTGTTACTGTTGGTTTAGTACTATTTGATACTACTGTTATTGTTATTGCCAAGTATCATCTTTTCTTCTATGAATAGTAATATAGCTGCAATAACAACCTACTGCTACTACCAGTACTGCAGCCCTTGCTCCTGCTGCTACTCCTATGCTTGTATTTTTCTATTGTTATTAGTATGATCATTATCACCATTAGTCGTAGAAGTAGTAGTACTACGGCTATCACGACGACGACGACGACGACTGCTGCTGCAGCAGCTGCTGCTGCTATTGCTACTGCTACTGTCACCAATACTAACTGTACTACCATTACCACGACTACCGGCGCTGCTTCCATGACAAATCCTCGCAGGATGGATTATTTCATGTCCAAGCACGAGGCAAGTCTGGAGATGCATGGGAGCCCTAAGCCCGAAACCCTCACTTCGCAACTAAGACCGCCTGAAGACGAGGCCCTGCACCCCTAGCTACGGGTTAATTGCATGTCTAGGGTTTAAGCATTTGGGTTTTCAGGGTTCAGAGTTTTCTTTAGGTTGTTCAACCCTAGGCCGGTTTTAGGTCCTTGATTGGCGCTTGGTGTAGCTGCCAGAAAGTTGGAATATAATTGCTCTGATGCCGGAGTGGTCCAACTTTCGGAATTCACTGTAGGATTTAGGGACCAATAAGGGGGCTCAAACTTCGCAGTGCTGCTGCTTAATCCCTTCCCCCATTTATGAAACACCCCCCCTAATAACAAAACACTTTGGGGCCAATCCTCCCGAAATCATCCCTGACCTTCAAAACCTAATTTGCATTAGGGGTCCGGAGCAAGGCAGGAGCAAGAGCAAAAACAGGAGCCAGAGCAACATCAAGAGCAGGGGTAAGAGCAATCCCTCAACAGTGCCAGTAGGGCCGGGATAAATATGCTCCCTAATGATAACACACACTTTCCGAGCTTTTATTGGGTGGAATCCCTACATTTCGATACTCCGCATCATAAAACCCTCATAGAGGCCTCAGCGAACCTAGAATTCTATACCTGCCGCCTTTCCGTCCTCCAAGTAACCATGCCCAAAAGCCCAACGCCACCTTATTGAGAGACATACTTTTTGTACGTTTTCAGAGGCTGCGGATTGTGATTTAAGGTATACCCCTCACTTAAGGGAAAGAATCCCCAGGAAGGCCTTCCAGCAAGAGCTAGAAAAGCACATGAGACCCTCTTCAAGTCCTATGAAAGCCTGAAAGACTCCGCCTTCATTCAGGGGCATCCTAGGCCCTTTACTCTAAACCCTGAGTCCCTAAGTACCCCAAACCAAAAAAACGGCCGGAACCACCCTAAACCCTAAACGCACAACATAGGTACTTAAACCGTAAACCCAAAAGTACCCTAGACTGTAAACCCTCGAACCCTCAGCCCTAAACCCTAGACCAATAAGCTCCAACACCTACACCCCTAAACCCCTAAACCCCTAAACCCTAAACCCTCCCCAAAACCCTAAAACCCTAAACCTCAAACCCAAGATCCCCAAACCCAACACCCTTAGACCCCAATAGTAGTTCCTTTTGGGGATTACCTTATAGGATTCTATATATGAACCCCCAAAAAGGAACTACATGGGGCCCTAAACCCTAAACCCTATGTAGGGACCCGAAGGTCGCCGAGGTCCTGACGGGCTCGGAGTTTGTGTGCTTCGCGGAGCTGTCCCCGAATCCCAAGGACGCATAGGGTTTAGGGTTTCGGGTTTAGGGTTTATCCCCGAATCCCAAGGATCCACAGGGTTTTAGGGTTTCGTGTGGAGGATGTAGGGCGTCTAGTCACTCGGGCACCCATATTGAGCTTTGGGGCTGACCTGGGCTTCGGCGACATGCAGGAATTTGCTAACGCGTGTCGGCGAATCTCACCTACCGAGCCCCTTCCCCTGCACAGGGCTTAGGGTGGTTATGGCCGGGTCACGTTCCAGGTTTAGGGTTGCTTAGGCTTTTAAACCGTCTCGGATGGCACCCCAAGACAGGAAAACTTCCAGTGCACGAGCTTCGGATTCCAAGACCCAAGTCGGAAAGCCTAAGCCTCACGCTCGAAATCGGACAGCTTTTCAACCCTCCGCATCATGCTGATGCAAGTGTTGGTAGGTCTTACCCGTAATCCCTAACAGGAAGCATGCATGCTGTAGCTGCGCTTTCTTTCCGTGCTTGTAGCCCATGTACCGAAACAGGACCTACGGCTGCTCAATATCGAGCGGTCGGTGCACATGGAGGGCTTGTGCCCCACAGTCATCATCACGATCGTCATCATCGCCATCAGCATCATCATCCCGATCGCCATCACCAACACCATCACCATCCACCACCACCACCACCACCATCATCACCATCACCATCATCGCCATCATCACCCTCATCACCATCTTCATCATCTTCATCGTCATCATCATCGTCATCATCATTATCATCGTCATCATCATCATCATCATCATCATCATCATCTTCATCATCATCATCATCATCATCATCTTCACCGCCAGCATCACCAGGGACCATCAGCACCATTATCAGCACCGTCATCAGCATCATGATCATCCTCGTCGTCGTCATGATCGCCGTCGTCGTCATCACCATCATCGTCATCAGCACTTTCATCAGCATGTTCACCATCATCATCGTCGTCATCTTCACCATCACCGGCAGCATCACCAGCTTCACCATCATCATCAGCATCATCATCATCATCATCGTCATCATCAGTTTCGGGTTTCGAGTTTAGTGTCGGGTTTAGGATTTGTGTTGTGCAGTACAGTCGGTTTTGGGCTTAGGCTTTCGGCATTCGGATACGTAGGTGGCATGGACTGGGCCCATCACTCCCACGAAGGCCCAAGCAGATGAACAAGAAACCTAATGTAGGAGCCTCCCGCTAAGGCCCCTAGCAAGCTGAACAGAACATGGAATTGTACGAAAGCCCCTGTAGAGCACCCCTAAACCCCAGACCCTAAACCCTAAACCCTAAACCCTACACCTTAGGGCCCTGCCCCCATTGGGGCTCTCCGCTTGCATGGCTGGGTGCAGAAAGGTGCTCAAAAAAAGCTTAGGGCCCTATGGGTTTAGGGTTTAGGGTTTAGGGGCGGAACTCTGAACCCAAAGTCCTTAACCCTATATGAGGTACTGTGGGGATGTTATCATCTGGCAGCCGATTACCGAGCGTCCCATCGACGTAAACATGGACGGTGCCAGTTGCAGCCAGGGCTTTGCGACGATTTGAGGGTTTCACTTAAAGCTTTTAGGGTTTTCGGGGCCTAGGGCCTAGGGTTTGGGGCTTGGGGTGTTATGATAGGTTTCGGGCTCAGGGGGTGTGCCATCGTTTGGTTTGTTTATTTGTTTGTTTGTCTGTTTGATTGTTTGTTTAGGTTCTGAATTGCCTCCTGGACATCCTACCTAAACCTTACACCCGAAACCCCCTTGACATTGAGAACTCCCCAATGTTTAGGGAACCTTTTGCTCAATCCCTCAACCTACAACTCTCACTGACGGATGGTAGGCGTAGGTTGAGGGCGAGTGTCTGGTTCAGGTGTACTTCAGGGTTTAGAGATTAGGACTTAAACCCTAAACCCTAAACCCTAAACCCTAAACCCTAAACCCTAAACCCTAAACCGTTTAGGGGTTAGGAGCTCAGGGGTTCAGGGCTTAAGGCCTGCAGCCCGTGCGCTGCTTTGCAAGAGGAGATCACGGTTTTACGTCAGAGTCCTGCGGCCGTTCTTGTAACCCAGAGGGTCCATATATACTACCATTATGGAATTAGGTCCCCAAAACCATAATAGGGATTGTGTTTTGGGACCTAATTCCATAATGGTAGTGTATATGGACCCTCTGGGTAAGCCGCTCATATCCTAAACCTTAAACCCTATAAGCCCTCTAAGCCCTACATCTAAACCCTAAGCCCTGAACCCTAAACCCTAGAAGCCCTATAAACCCCATAAGCCCTAAACCTTAAACCCTAAACCCCTAAACCTCTAAGCTCTAGACCCCTAAGCCCTAGACAAGCTGAGCCTCGACGGCTCGACACAAGACCCCTAAACCCTAAACCCTAAACCCTAAACCCTAAACCCTAAGCCCTAAACCCTAAACCCTAAACCCTAAACCCTAAACCTTATCAGCTGCTCTCCTTGTCTGAACAGGAGATTTCAAGGGGAAAGGCATGGTGCAGATATTTGGGTGGTTGTCAAAATTATGGTCCCTTTTTGGGGTCCTTATTATAATACGGCACCTATTATTTAGGGTACCCCAAAAGGGACCATAATTTTGACAACTACCCATTTGGATTCCTGAATGACAGTTCCGAACTTTGTTGCTGCCAGGCTCTGGGATGAAAGGAAAGCTGGGCAAAGGCCAGTCAGTTTCCAGCCGGCTTTTAAGATTGTGACTTTGGTTGTTGGACTCAGCTGTTCTTGCCATTGCCAGTACACCCGTGGGAGCGCGTGCGGTCTGAACAGAACGTCGAAGTCTAAGAGCAGCTGTCGATTTGAGTGCTTTGAGCTCGTCGCGGCTCCCCGCAGCTACCGCCCCAACCGCCAGCATTCGTGGGCAGTGGAACGGAACCTCCGCGGGGTCACGGCCACGGAGCCCTAAACCCTGAAACCCTAAACCCTAAACCCTAAACCCCTAAAGCCCTAAACCCTAAACCGCTAAAGCCCTAAAGCCCTAAGCCCTAAGCCCTAAGCGCTAAACCCTAAACCCTAAACCCTATACCTCTAAAACCCTAAAACCTTAAAGCCCTAAATCCCTAAAACCCAAACCCCTAAGTGGAAATGTCTCCCCCCCAAGCACTTAGCCATCAGTTCCCGAAGCTTCCCGGAGCTCCGAGTTCGAGCGAAGGGATGCAGCTGCAGGGGGTTTTAAGGTTTAGGGGTTTAGGGCTTTAGGGTTTAGGGGTTTAGGGTTTAGGGTTTAGGGTTTAGGGTTTTAGGGTTTATGGTTTAGGCTTTAGGGTTTGGGGTTGCTCAAAAATACCCGGAGGAGGACAAATGGAGTCTGGAGAAGGCTCGAAGAAACCCTCATAAACAACCAGGAAGAGCCTAAATACCCCAAACCCTAAACGCCCAACCCTAAACCCTTTCTCCCCTATAATGAACCCTCTACACTCTACCCTAAACTAGCTAAAAGGGCCGCTGGACGTGGAGAATTTCGGCCTGGCTGAGTGTTCAAACCTGGCCCTGAACCCGTAGCCGAAAAACCCTACCTTCTCAGATTTCCGCATCACGGTGTCTGATGCATAATTCCTTTTAGGGTTTTTTCAGACGCCTCAACCCTGAACCCTGAACCCTAAACTGGCCCTAAACCCTACAACCCAAACTATAAACCCTATGAGCCCTCAACCCTAAACCCTAAACCCTGAACCCTAAACCCTATAAGCCCCATAAACCCATAAACCCCATAAGCCCTAAACCTTAAACCCTAAACCCTAAACCCTAAACCCTAAACCCTAAACCCTAAACCCTAAAAAAAAAAAACCTAATTCCTAAACCCTGAAGCCTGGCCAGGGGTCGAGCCGGAGGAGCGGGTCCGGGGATCTTGCTGTTCGTGTTGATCGCTGCTTGTTACGACGATGGTTTAGGGTTTAGGGTTT